TTGATCTTAGTCATTCTATTCTTACTTAAAGGGAGATATGTAAGGAATTTTTTCAAATTTTTTTTTGAGCTCTTCAATATATATATTTTTGTAATAACTCTAAGGCTACAAACCTTTTTTAAAAACAACATTCATTTATATTAACGCGCATTTTAATTCATTAGAATTCATCCTGCTTGCCTTTAAAAGCTCCTTTTTGAGTTGCGGATGCTCACTCATTATTATAGATTGATGTTTTGGTACCTATTAAGCTCTAATTTATTAATTTCAATTTTTTAAAATATCAAATTTAAGCAGGTTATTATTGGCGCCTAGAAAATATCTTCTTATATTTTATTGGTATTGTATATCTAAACATTATTTTTAATTAAATTTTTTTTTAATTTTAAAAGTATTTAACATAATTACGAATTATCAAATATTAACTGCCATATTAATTTAGTATTTATATTATCGATGTTAAATTAATTAAATCTTTAAAATAAAAAAAAATTTATTTATTTATTTAATAAGTGATATTATTCTAAAAAGCAAAATATGAAATGATTTTCTTTAAAAATTTCTGTGAATAAGCTTAATAAATACTTATTATTATTAAAATTTAATTATGTTATTATATTTTAATTTTAGTTGTTAATTTTTATGCAAATAATTAAAAGATTGTCCTATTCATATTTTTACTCTCTTTATTTTTAAATAATACCTAAAAAATCAACATATTTTTCATTAATAATTATTGTTTTTTATAAAAAATTAAATAATTATGAGAAGTCAAAAATAAATCATCTTTTTATTATTTAAATACTAACTATCTTCATTTCTACAAAAAAAATAATTTATTTTAAGTTGGGGTTGGGGTTGGGGTTGGGGTTGGGGTTGGGGTTGGGGTTGGGGTTGGGGTTGGGGTTGGGGTTGGGGTTGGGGTTGGGGTTGGGGTTGGGGTTGGGGTTGGGGTTGGGGTTGGGGTTGGGGTTGGGGTTGGGGTTGGGGTTGGGGTTGGGGTTGGGGTTGGGGTTGGGGTTGGGGTTGGGGTTGGGGTTGGGGTTGGGGTTGGGGTTGGGGTTGGGGTTGGGGTTGGGGTTGGGGTTGGGGTTGGGGTTGGGGTTGGGGTTGGGGTTGGGGTTGGGGTTGGGGTTGGGGTTGGGGTTGGGGTTGGGGTTGGGGTTGGGGTTGGGGTTGGGGTTGGGGTTGGGGTTGGGGTTGGGGTTGGGGTTGGGGTTGGGGTTGGGGTTGGGGTTGGGGTTGGGGTTGGGGTTGGGGTTGGGGTTGGGGTTGGGGTTGGGGTTGGGGTTGGGGTTGGGGTTGGGGTTGGGGTTGGGGTTGGGGTTGGGGTTGGGGTTGGGGTTGGGGTTGGGGTTGGGGTTGGGGTTGGGGTTGGGGTTGGGGTTGGGGTTGGGGTTGGGGTTGGGGTTGGGGTTGGGGTTGGGGTTGGGGTTGGGGTTGGGGTTGGGGTTGGGGTTGGGGTTGGGGTTGGGGTTGGGGTTGGGGTTGGGGTTGGGGTTGGGGTTGGGGTTGGGGTTGGGGTTGGGGTTGGGG